GCGCCCTCGCACTATTCAGTTTCCGGCGTAGCGCTCGTGCGTGCGTGCGTGCGTGGCCGTCGGTTGGCTGTGTCGCCGAGCCCGTGCAGATGCTGCGTTATCTGTCGGGCTGCGGGGCGCGGGGCGCACGTCCGCGCTCGCACCCAGAGCTTTCGCGGCCGGCACCGTCGACGTTTCTAGAAGCGTCCGCGCCGCCCGCCGTCCTCGCTCGCTTGCGTACCGCTGGCCGCCGCTCGAAAGTAACACACTTCCGCCGCCCGTCAAGGTTTACATAAGGAAGGCGCCTGGGCGCGCGCCTTTGCACTCGCCGAGTCTCGAAACGGTACTTCCAGGGGGGGGGGGGGGGAATAGTCCCGAGTGTGAAAAATTTAGGATTTAACTGGTCACTTTCCTCAACACGTAGCAATGTAAGATGATGAAATAGGGAATGACATTGGTTGAAATGACACATTTTTGTAGTCCTATCCTTTTTTGTTCGCTTTGCATAGTAACGAGTAGAAAAAAAAGAACTTTGTTTAGATTTATTATGTCCATGTGAATACTGTACTGTGAAAGTGTCAAGAAACATTCCATTTCAGTTCCATTACATTCGCGCATAATATTGTTTATTCAGTAAATCTCATGTGAATCATTTGAGCCCAAAATCCTAAATTTTATTTGAGAATAATGGGATTTCTTTTTACAAAACATTAACTCTAAAATGATTGGAAAACATTGAAATATTAAGATACGCAACACTGAATGTCAGGAAACTTTTTTAAGGCGTTCCTTCCTTAAGCGTATTTTTCTTTCTTTGACACTAATTTAGACTCGACTGAGTGCAATGTTTGGAGTACACTAGCTTTCTTTGATTCTTGCAACTTGTACAAGATTCGTAGCAAATATACGTCCTACCAGACGCACTATCTTCCCCCTATTCCCAGTGTAAGTATAAGTACTCCGCGCGCGGTGAAACACAGCTTTTACATTTATCCTTATCAGCTTCACTTAATGAGCGCGATAGTGACAAGTCTTGACGTCACAGGCATGGGTGTCCGGTTCGGCCATTTGTGTCTTGTACGGTCAGAAGGACACACATTTATTAGCATGACGAATGGAAATAGAAGACAATAAAAGGAGACGAAAGTTAACATACATACCATTAATATGTTCAGTGAATAATATTTCTATCAATAAAGAAGTTCAGCCAAGAAATATTGATTGCATTCTGTCATTATATCTTATATCCTACCAAACACACACAAGGTTGTTTACACGTAAAAATACTTATAAAAATATCATTAAAAATAGACTAGCAGGGAATTAAAATATTTGTCGTAAAAGCCACGTACAATTTCCTTTTTTAACATTTCTCTAAAATTAATCGATTTGTCGAAAGCATTTTTACACCATTATTCTTCCACATCTTAACCTAAATTCAGAAAAACCCATACTGATAGAAAAATGGAATAAACACATTCCAGATAGGGTCATGCTTGCGCAATAACTTTCTTACTGTTGTTGGCATCCGCATTCTTTAAATAATACAGAGCACCATTGGATATACCAAAACAAAGATTACAGCCACAGAGCAAAATAATCCGAAGTCCAATGTCGCACTTTTGTTATCGTAGCAAACACCTCTAGAGGAAACAAACAAGCCCAACGAGCCCAACCTTCCCAGCGTCCGTCTCAAAAACGCGCCGGCAGGCGGCGTCGCTCTTGACCTACAACGATAAAGGTGTGCGGAAGGGTAAGGTCTGCTTCAGGGCCCACTGGGCTGCACCCATTCATCCTCGCCTGCAGGTGCGCGAAGATGCTTTCCCGCGCACCGCCTGTTGATCCCCCGGCCTTTGCCCCGCGCCGCCAGAGACACCTAGCAGCCGCGTCGCGCACTACACCGGCCGATCGTGTTGCCATCTAGCTAACCTCGGGTGACTCGATTAAGGACGAGGGGAGGGGGTATGCTCACACTTTTGTTGCTATAACACCGGAAAATGGTTGATTTCTGCAATCGTGATATATAAATTAACAATACAAATCTCTTCCGTAGTTTACCGGTAACCAAATTCTCTCAGGGCAGCACATATTGAAGCTTCTGCAGTAGTCCCGACATTTTTCTTCTCCATTCCACATGTGTTCATATGTCAATCAATGAGTTGATCATTAAAATCTAACTCTTAATTTAATTCGCACGGGACCGTGCCTCATAGAAGATCATTATTCCGAGCTCGGAACGCAGATCCTCATAGACTTCACCTTTGGGAGTTTTATAATGACAGCTACGGGGAGCCATGGGGTACCGAGCGCACTTGAAGATTTTTCAAAAGGACGCTGAGGGATTCCCAATAGTTCGATTGACGTTTTTGTGCCGTCCCCCCCCCCCCAATCACCAATTTTCTCAGCAATTGTGTTGTCGCCTATGTATTGTCAGAAGAACTTGGCTTATCTTTGAACACGAATGCAATCGATATATGGGCGGGGATCAGGGAACGCATGCGACGACGCTGTGCGGGAAGCGTTCGGCGCCCGACCCCTCAAGGCGGGTTGCCTGCGCGCGGCGCCTGGCGTGCCCTGGCCCAGCCAGCGCCTGTCCCTTCCGCCGCAGCCTAACGAGCTCTCGCCGCGGCGCCGATGACTGCCCCCGGGACAAGTGGAGTCTCAACCAGGCGCGGAGGGGAGCGGGGCAGAGCGGATTGTGGCGGGAAGGAGCGAAGCGGGACGAGGCAAAGTGAACCGACGCGAAGTTAGAATTAAGAAGGGGCGAGGTGGGAGAGAGGGCACGGGACGGGAAGGACGGGTGGGACGGGACAGGGAGAGGCAGGGTGTCGGCGCAGTCGGCCCCACTTGCGGAAGTGTCTGACCATTGCCGTTACCACAGAAAAAGAACTCACTGCGGATGCAAATGCGTTTGTCTGGAGGTTCGACGCAACGACGACTCACTCTTTTCACGCAGTTCGAGACGCGGAAATGATCGCTGTTGAGTTTGGAACAAACAGGTCGCTCCATTTCAAGTCATCTACATGCGTTTTGGTCACGCATCCAATAAAAGTTCCTTGTTTGGTCCGTCTGAAACAGTACGGACTTAAGGAAAGTGACAACGCACGTGTGTGACATTCTTGAATACTGATTACCACAACAACTCATTTAACTACGTCATTAGACATTTGCCAATGAATAATTTATGATGAAGGTATTCTAACTCGATAAGTTGTTAACCTGCTGCTGCAAAATAACTACGTAACTATTTACTTCATCTTGAAAATTGTCGTTTGAAGAGTTTTTCTCAGAAGGAAGTCAACGGTGAAGTTAATCCAATCCAGGCATTGGAAAACATTCAATCAACATTCCCTAAAGACTAACGAACATGAAAGATTAGTCAAATACTTTCAAAATGCTTAGCCATTGTTTACAACACCTATTTCCGCATATACTTGGAATTTTGTAAAATATCATAGAATTCCTTACACACACCCTATAGTATGACAACTTTTTATCATTTTATATCAAAGCTTCACATCACTACACCATATCAGAGAGAACAAACCTCTCAAAAACGGAATCAAGAAAGAGAGAAGCATTTTCTTGTACCATCTGGTTAGGCATTCCCTCACAACTTCGCCCTCTGACTTTTTTTAACCACATGCGCACTTACATTTTCAAGAGTGCTGTGCCTAATCTTCTCACCATAGAAGGATTTTTGTCTGCAGCATGAACCAGCAGATTCTTCCAGTTGGAATTACTTAGCCATGACGCAGTCAACGGGTATTCAAATCATTATGAAAAATAACTCTTAAGGAAGAGAGGAAAAGTCGCCGTGTTTCCTCTTTTGTTCGGCGAACACCCGAGCCGGCGTCTCCGCTCCGGCTAATGACGGCGGACGTATTTCGAAAGCACACGCCTAGAAGTACTAAAAGCGGCGGCGCCAAGATTGTCCTCAAAACTGGTCCACACCAGTTCACCTTAACGTCGCGAACATGTAACCACGCAAAAGCGGAACCAAGGAAAATATAACTTGCTCTTCGACTAAAACTATAAATTCCCTAGGACATACGTTAAAGAGCACACAATGAATCTATGCATCTGCACATCTGCATCATTCCGCACTCGTGATGTGAAAGAAGCAACAATTCTTTTTGGAAGGTCTCTAATGGCCCCTGATATTCTAGTATATTTAGAGTTGATGATGCAAATGGGAGGTGAATGACTGTTGTGACACCTTTATGTGACAAAACCTAACTTCTGCATTAAAAGAGTTTTTCCTCAACTTCATTTTCGTTGACTTCTTTTCTTAAAGAAAATATTGAAAGCAAACTAAATCTTGAAATATTACAACCAATATTGCTTTGATTTGACTATCACAATTCATGAGCGTGACCACTGCGGTTACGGCAAAGACGACCCTCTTTTCTAGTCAATACGGTACACAGTTCAAATCGTGTCACACCATTCTACTCAAAAAGAGCTTTAATGAAGAGTTTATTGCATCTTTCATTTGTAGAGCTACGAATTATCCATTACTACCTCACTGGAAATTCATTGATTCCCGGTTCATCATTATCTACTCGATTTC